TGGCGGCCTGCGTGAAGGAGGGAGCTGAACGCTCCTGGTAACCATCGGCGTGGTGCCTTTCGAGGGAGCTGCTGCCTTCCCTCGTTCTAGTTTTGTTTTTATTCTGTCCCTGTGACCTCAGCACCTGGGGAATAAACAAACGTATTTATAGGCTGTAGCGCAAGAGGTAAATCTGTTCCGGATTTTTTATTCTCGAGTTTCAGAATTGCATGAATTGTTTTGTTAACGGTAACAAAAACCGTTTAGCTTATCTAAAACTGTATTCGATTAACTGCTTTTAGAGTAATAGTGGTTTTATAAAACCACAGAGCAGTAGTACAGCATTTTTTGCCTCTATTTCGGATTTGAAGTCTGACGTGTCACACAGACAAAGGTCCAGTATAATCGATGTTTTTGTTATTTACATTTCAGTAGAGCCCAGAGAACTTAACGGAGTCCTGCCATGCTCCTACAGCCAAGTAGGAGATCATGGTCCTTGTCCCCTAAAGGTTAGGGGCAAAAACGGTTTAAAAAAACAAAAGAAAAAAACCCCGAGGCATCAGAGTAAGATGCTCCATAAAGTAAGAGCAAACTTATTCTAAAATATAGTATTTTCTTATTTTTTCATTAGTATCTTTTTTCTTTAAGAGTTTTCGAATAAAACTTCAGGTTTTTCTTGAAAAGCAATTGTATAACATGGTAATACATACCCATAGGTTAATTTTACTAATATTATTTACCATCCTGAAAATATAACATGGAAAAATAAGTATTCTAAAGTATTAACAATAGCAACTACAATGAACAGCTGCAACTATTAAATGCTCATCTTGGAATGCCAAGTTAAACAATTTTATCTAGTTCACAGCTTCACAGTTAAAGACATTGTCTTGTGCTCAGGCTGAGACTACCAGGCTAATTTTTTTCCTTTTATATGGTTAAAATGTTCTGAAGAGAGAAATTTAATCAGATGACTGAGGAAAAAGTTATCCTTTTCATTCAGTTCTGAAACATTTGCTTAGAATTGTCTTAAATTCCAAAACCCATATTAGTTTAGTTTAACAACTTACTTTATTTTACGCCGCTAAACTGATGCGTTTCTTTTACCCTTAACAAAGATAAATTGAGATTCCAATTCACAGATTTGTACTTCAGCTTATATGAGAGATGACTAATGTTCAGCAGTTATTTCCAAATGTGCTTGACTGATAGATGTTGCTGTGAACAGCTTTGTTGTATTTAAAAGTCTCAGTGGTAGTACCTTTTACAGGATATTTGCCTTACTCTCCTGAAGGTGTAACAATCCGATGGCATCTAAATGCTCTTCTGCTCCAGTGAAGATCTTCATGTACCATATGGCCTAAAGAACACTTTTCAAGCAGTTCCTTCCCTTTTTACCCTGATTTTTAAGTCTAATTTCCAGCCAAAATAATGATAGCGTTCGTGGATTATAGACTTTAACGTCTTCAATTTAACAGGTTTTGTAGGAAGACTGTTGCCTCTGCAGCGCTTGAGCGCCACCTTTAACAGCATATGGGAAATTAAAAAACAATCGTTACTTGGATGTTCATGTTTATTTCAAGTTTTCAAGAACTGTTAATGTTACTGTCTAGCGAACTATATATTTTTCTTCATCTATAAAAGGAAATGTGTTATTTCCTTCCGTTAAAAAGTGAGACCCAGCAGAAATGAACATATTCTGTTTGAGGAACGTTGATCACTGAGGTATCCAGGGATAGAATAATGTGTTTTTTGTATTAAAGAAATTGGTATGGTCAAGTTATGCCTATGTCTTGTGGTGTTTTCATGCCCCTGTGCCGGGTTGGTCTTTTGTTGCATTTTTTTTTTTTTCTTAGTGATTTATTTTTTTTCTGAGATTTTGGTCAGTCTCACCGTTGTGTGTATTTTATGCAACTGATTCTTGCTGTGAACCCTCACGTGAACTTACTGAGAAATACAACTTGTCATGTTAAGGGCAAAGTCCTAAATGAAGAGCTGATTCAGAGAGACAAAGCAGTCAAGTAAATACTCTTCTTTTCCTTTGTTTTAAAGCTTAAATTCGCCCTTTTCCATTAGTTTTGTGATCTGACTCAAAGCCTAGATAAATGAAAACTATTTTAGGTTCAAAAGACTCGGTGATCTGAACAGTTTTAAGTATTCTCAAGTGACTTATAACATTTCCATAGGACTAAACATTAAAAGCGTTCTAGAGTAAAAATATTTATTAATAACTTTGTTCTTAATGTCTGTGTAACAGGTAAAAGTAGTTCAACAAAACTGAAAATTTTCATTGTTCTTTCAGATGCAGCAACGGAACTCCATGTATCCAATTCTAGACTCAGAGAAATAGAAAGTATTAATGCAGCACAAAAGTCAGAAGTAAGAAATTTTAGAACACGTTTACTGTAATTAAAAACAATAAATACAAGTTATTAAGTGTTGCTGATTAAGATGAAATATTGCACTGAAGAGGCTTATCCTTGGGAAATTCTGGAAATGAGGATGAGTGGTAGCAGAATCTTGCTCTTTTCTTTGGTGACTCACTGTCATCACTGTTAGGGGGGCAAATTTATGCACTAGAACATGCATGCAGTTCAAGTTTTCATCTTGTGCTGACTGCTCTATCCTGCGACTGTTTCTACTAGTCACTGTGGTTTGGACCTTAGCAGTAAACTTTTGGCTCTTAGAAGCTCTCAAATGCAGAGTTCTTGTAAGTTTTGATAAGTTTTAACCGTTAGAGAGTTAAGTGGTTTATTGTGTTTCATATATGACCACAAATCAAAGCAAACTTAGAATGCTTCCTTTTGTGCTTGAAATTCTATCTTTTGAGGCAAGCTTCGAAGTCTAGAGGGTGTCCTCCCTGATACGGCGCTGCGTCCGTATTGCCTGCTGTATGATCCTTTTGACATAGCTACAGATGCTCATGCCCTCCTATGACTGCTTACAAATCCTTTGTACCCATGTGGCAATTACCTGTGTCCTTTTAGAAGGATCTGTTGGTCTTGGGACTTTATGGCTGTAAACCAGCCAGCTTCATGTGCTTTGTCTGCCCTTAAGAGCAGCGTGAAGGTAGGAGAGTATATTGGGGAGGTTACAGTTTTTGCTTGTCCTGTTTCTAGGCTCTTAGCATCTGTTATGGGCCACTCTCAGAGACGGGATAGTTGCCTGTATGGATATTAGCTCCAATTTATGTTCTGTGGCTGTTCTGAAATTCCACCTGACAGTGCTGTCCATCATATGAAGAGTAATTCAGCTCTGAAATTTTTCTTTTTGATGTTTACCTCCCGTAACACAAACCTTTGAGCGGTTACTAGAGTCTGTGCTATATAAAACTGGACAGCTTGGACAAGATGATGATTCTGGGCCCACATTTGGAGTTACTTTTACCATGCATTTTGAGTGAAATAAAATGAAACATCTATTATTTAATTACTTCAATTTTTTTATTGTTCAGCAACTTTATGCTTTTCTAGTTCTGTAAGAACTAGATATTCAGAACTTGTTAACATCCATTTCTCATTTCTGCTAGAATGAGAGACTGAAAAAAGTTTGTAGTGATTTAGAAGAAAAGCATGAATCGGCAGAGCTTCAAATAAAACAGTTGTCTGTAGAGTACCGAAATCAGCTACAACAAAAAGAGGTATGATACAGACTAAAATATTTGAGTATGTCCCATAAATTTATGTATTATGTTGATTAGTATTTTTATTTAGTTTTAGTATCTGTGCCTTTTCAGTAGAAGTATCAGTCACAGTTGAAAATGTATGGATGTTTTCTTCATTTATTAGTGTAGAGACTAAGACATACATTTCATTGACTCATGTAATATAACCACGGCTGCCAGAAGATAGATGAGAAGAGAGAAAACTCTTCAAAAATATCAGGTTTATAACGTGAATTCCTGTCCTTTTTATTATCACCATGAGAAAGGCTGCTTTAACTGCTTTGTATTTCTAATTCAGTAATCTTTGTTAAGGAAGGTAACAGAAGAACAAATTCTCATTTGAAGCAGTTAGTTTTCCCTGTGGTTATCATTTATTTATCATAAAGTGTACATTTAAAGGAAACAGAGCTAGCTTTCATGACTTGAGAAGGTGTACCTTTGTGATGTAAACAGATCAATTCTATGAACTACTGTATAATGTGAGTTTTCATAGCCTTTTAAATTAAGAAAGTTGGCAGTATGCCAAGAATATTACGCAAAAGGAGTTTTACTTCTGCTTTATTTGTAAACGTGTGTGGGAACTAGAGGAAGCAGAATTTTGAGATGTATAATATTCTGCTCATTAAATATAATAATACAGGTGTTAAAGGAAAATTGCATGCAGCTAATTTCAGTATGACGCGAATAAGTATATTTGCAATACTTTGAAATGTTGAATATAATATAAATAATTTGAGAAACATCATATTTTGCTTAATTTTCGTATCTTAAAGCCCTCATTGAAAACTTTAACTTATTGCACAGCTTGTTAGCCTGAATCTTGCCGTAGGACTTAGGTGCCTTGGCTGCTGAAAAATCACCAAAATTTTTTGCTGATACAGGTGTAGAAATACTTAACTAAAAAGTATGAAAACTTCTAATATGTGTCTTAGTGTGAGATATTTTGTAACAAGTCAGCCAAGACTGCTTTTCTCCATTTTCTGCTTTTTTCCTATTTTCTTCAGTAAAAAACTTCTGTAACTTATGGCGAGGGGGTGTGGGGTACATTGATTGGCTTACATGTAAAAGGAATAATGTGGAATATGTTTTGATATTCTTGCTGAAACAATGACTATATTCTGTATATTCAGGTGGAAATCAGCCATCTAAAAGCTAGACAGAATGCACTACAGGAGCAATTGCAGAAGGTACAGACAGCTGCTCAGTCAGCACAGTTAGGAGCTGGTGTTTTGCCACCAGCCACTACATCAGCTTCCTTTGTTCCAGTGGTTAGACATTCCGCAGGTTTTCAAGAAGATGATATGGATTTTGGAGATATAATCTGGTCACAACAAGAAATAAACAGATTATCCAATGAAGTTTCTAGGCTTGAATCTGAGGTCGACCACTGGAAGCAGATTGCACAGGTGAGTGGTTCACCTCCCTCCCCCACCCCCACACCTCTGTGTGCCTCTGGATTAGTGCTTTCAGTGCATTTGGCATTCCTGGAATGTTTTTTTCATTTTATGCTTTCAAATTTATTGTCAACATGATTTGATGGAAGAGGTGAAACCTACTCTTTTAGTCTTTGTTACACGTGTGATTGGTGGCACACTGAGTGGCTGTTTTCCAAACGCTTTTTCAAAATGCTTTTAAGCATGATTTGTCGAGTTAGGAAAAGCATTCCATAAACGTTTATCCAGAATATTAGTACTATTTCAGAGTTTAATTTTTATGCAGTTTTTTAAAAATACTCTTCTTCTTCCTGGCTATGCTATTGATTGTTTATTAACAGCACAGCAGTGTTCAAAGTGATAGTTACATGCTTGCATATTATTTTTCGTTACTCTTTTCTCACTGCTTGATATGTCAGTTACAACTTGTGGTCTGGTGAGACAAGAAAGAATATAATCATACAAGCTGTTGTTGGCGTGAGCCATCATTTCTCAAGCTATTGTCTGATTTCACAGACGTTAGTACTTGGCTCATGTGGAAATACCAAAGTAAAATGAAGCAACCTTGTTGTCTTATTAGGTGCAATAGTACCCCTCCCTCCAAATTTTTACACATATGCAGGTTATGGGGGGGAAAAACGATGGAAAACTAAAATGTTACCACTAAAGTTACCTTTTTTTCCTGAGCAAAGTTACTATAGGTTTGAACTTTGCTTCATGTTAGAAGTCCTTCCTGGTAATCTTAAAATGATATCGTGGTAGACACTGCAGCTTCTTTGTTTTCTGCCTTTGATTATCCTATAGATGAGGTGCTTACATGAAAAACGTTATGTATTTATCACAATTTCCACATGAAGATGATATTTTTATTTTCTTACCTAGCTTTCCAAAGTGCAAGGGGCAAATGATGCAGAACAAAGTGAAGTCTGCAAGCTGCAAAGTATCATTAAGGTAAGATGACAACTTTGACAAGCCAGTCCTCTCTTATTCTTTATCCTTGAAGGTCTGGGTACGGCAAGATTTTCGTAAGTAAAGTTAAACATATTTACAGCACTGGTACTTATGTTTCCTTTATCTAATAATGTGGGGGGACACTCGTACTGCTGGCTGAAGTGTTGCCGTGCTCTCAAAATGATTGAATTTGTTTTGAAATCTAGGGGAGAAGGTATTTATATAACTTGCTGAATATCGTACCTAAACTTAAAAGGATGACGTTAGCATCTCTAGGAGCAGTTGACATTCAGAAGCAGCTGATGACTTGCGATAATGAGTTTTAGATGCTCAAAATAATTTTTTGGTCTGCATTCTCAGAAATACCTTGGCCCTTTTTTAACTGGAAAAACAAATGCAGAGTCACATGTCATACTTGAAAGTTACTCAAAATATGTCCTGTTATTTCCACTTCCTAAGTTGTAATCTCTATAGACTTTTTTGAGTATTTGCTATTGCACTCAACACACTGTATAAATATCTTTTTTAACAGAATACTTTCTTAACTGTTAGAAAAAGAACAAAACAAGAAACAACCTCTTCTAGGAGAGAGTTTACTGTGAAAAGTTTTTTTTGTTTCATTTGTATTGTTTCTTGCTTAAGATTATCTAGTATATTTTAACATTCTGTTTATCTAACAATGTTTTTAGGAACTCAAACAGAATTTAAGTCAAGAAATAGATGAGCATCAGCATGAACTTTCAGTATTGCAGGATGCACACAGACAAAAGCTAGTAGAGATAAGTCGTCGACATCGAGAAGAGCTGAGTGAATATGAGGAGCGAATTGAAGAACTTGAGAGTCAGCTACAGCAAGGTGTTTATTATGACGTGCACTTTTTTGGATTTTATTTTCTGATTTAATGTGCAATGAATTCTGGTTAAACCGTAAAATAGGTATATAATGAACAGTGTAATACATGTCAAATACATGTTATTTAGAAGTCTGAGTTTAGACTTTAGTTTAGCTTTATGCTTAAGACACACGTCCTGATATCTTATACAGACTATGCTTGGATCATTTTCTTTATATCAAATGTTACACTCTGAAGTCTACGCTTCCTGTTTTTTAACTGAATATAGGTGTGGAAGAGGCATGCAATGCTGAAGATGAGAACATTTCAGCACAAAAATAGTTTTGAAGAGAAGTAGTATGTACCAGTTGGATTACTTGATAGAAGCTCATAGGTTGCAGTCAGGACCATGCATGTACCTGTGGCATGGCCAGATTGTAGGAGAAGCGCAGTCATTATCATAAGAGGCTCTCCGTTGTGTCAGGCAAATCCTTCATATTACCTAAAAGTACAGAGTTGTGTCAATTAGGTCTCCTTTAGGTATTTCTTTGCACAAATACATACCTGGAAAAAAAAAACGCTAAATACCTGTAAGCCTGCCTTTTATGGTGTATTAAAACTCTTTTTTCTAAATAGCGTATGTTCCTCTTTTGGAAAGAGAGACCGGCAAAGACTAGAATTTCTTCTTGGAGAGAAAGGAAATATTTTTGCAGTCTCTTAAGTCCTAAGGTAGTACTGACAAGGAACTTATTCTTGAAATCAGATACCTGATTAGACGTAACCTGACTTTTAGGTATGCTGTACGTCTATCAGTAGGGCTCATTTAATAAAACAAAGATAAGAATCCCATATCTTTTGCTTAACAGGTCATCTGCAAAATCAATGTTGTTCACAGCTTTTGAAGTATTAGAGTATCTTATCATATTTTTATTTGGGTGGCTCTTGTATTTGAGAGCATCAAACATACAGGTTGTAGAAATTCCTGTTTGAACTTGTACTTGAATTCACAAGCAGCATTGTTTTCATTGAACTTTTTTTCTTGTACGTTTTTGACTCTGCTTTTTTTTACTCTGAAAATTGCGTTGTAAGCATTGTACAAAGCAAGCTATGAATGTTGTTATAGTAGGGTGCATCTGTAAAACTATAATTTCTGCAGAAAGAGATTGTTAGGTGAAAAAAATTATGCCTCATTTAACAGAAGAGACTGTCAAGTAATTTTTAGTCCTTGCAGCCACCTGAAACTGATAGGAGATGCAATCCTGAGTTTTTAAGGTCTACTAGCAAAAATGCGTTGTATATGCAAACTCTGACAGCTGTTCGGCAACCCTTTAAAATCAAATAAAATATATATAATAGTGATTTTTGCATCAAGGTGGATTAGCTGGTTTTTGGTAAATTAATCTTAGGAGACTGAGGGATTTCTCATCCTGATAAATCAACTTCTGTCACCTTCCCCACACTTCCTGGTGAAGTACATTTTAATTCAAACTTGAACAGCCTGTGTCTTGCAACTCCTACCTTTCAAAACTATTTTTAGCCAGAGATGTGCAAGTATTTGAAGAGCTGTTTGTCAAATCACTTACATGTATGGCACTACTTCAATTGTTAGTAAGTTTTTTTTGTTTTTTTTTTTTTTTTTTTGTCCGTGATGATCATATCTCTGCTTTAGAGTGTTTCCCTCTGTCAGGAGAAGGTTAGGAGGAGAAAACTTTAGAAGTAAAAGATCTACAGAGCTGGTTTTGGTTAGTATAGCAAACTTAATCTTTTTTGCTTTTTAGGTGGTGTAAGCACTGATGCCACAGATGATTCTAAAATTAGTGAACAGAAAAAGAATATTCAGACTCTAGATGCTGGAAAAGCAGAGGACCTGCAGATTATAAAGGACCTAGAGGATGAAATACAAAAACTAAATCACAAGCTGTCTTCTGCCAAAGAAAAAGAAAAAATTCTGCTACAAGAGCAAGAATTGATTAAGATAGAAAAAATCCAAATAACACAAGAATATGAAAGTTTAAAATCTGATTTTAGTAAGCTTCAAAGTTCTGTTGCAGAACAAGATGGTCTCTTGAAAGAAAAAGAGAAGAAGTTCCGATCAGAGACATCACTACTTCCAGAAGATGTCGTCAGACTACAGCAAGCACTGTTAGGTGTGAAGGACAGTGTGTGTCTGTGTGTGTGTTAATCATACCTTCACAGGTTTCCACTCTTAATGTTCAGAATTTGTTTTTAAAAGTTGTAACTGAAAACTGCTGTTTTAGCAAAGGGTTAACTACTGAGGTGGAGGCAGCAGAAAAGAAAACGTAATTAGGACTAGCGTGATGATTGTAGGGTCTGATTAGCTAAGTAAATGTGTCTGCCAGCTGTTAGATAGGATTTTTCTTTCTTTAAAAGTAAATACATGGGAATATAAGTTGTTTATTTAAACTCTAAAAGTACATTTTTTGTGTCTAAACGCAGTCTGCTAGTATCCTCTCCTGAAGAGAGAGTGAAATAGATCTGTTTTGCAAGTACATCTATATGTAGAACGTCTTTTAATGTTGCGTAACTAATACACTATAGTACCGAAGTCCTCCTAATGTGGATTCAGTTGTAAAAATAGTGTTGTACTTTGTGCTGGTTATTGATGGTACATTTGAATCTTTTACAGCGTTGACGCTTTAAAAAAATATAAATCATCACAAAACTTTGTGAAACTGTTCTCTCCTCTGGGCAATGGAGATATGCTGGGGAAAGGGTGGGAGAATTGTTTATTATTGTTTTGGAAGTAGCACATTAATATTTTGTTTGTCCTTATAGAAGCAGAAGAAGAAATAGCAAGGCTTTCAAGTTTAAATCAGGTAAAACAATTTGAAAATTATGTCAACAAAAAACTCATAACAATAACTGATGGGAAAACGCACATCCTTGGCACTGTAAATTTTTCTGAAGCTTTCATGCTTCTGTGTAAGCAAGCTTGTAATCAAGGAAATAATTTTAGATTAACTTTATAGTTACGTATGTAATGTGATGGAAATAATATATTTTGATTTGTGAAACCCCGCAGCCTACTGTGTTAAATTGATCTAGTGGTGTTCCTCATACCACATTATGTAGGCTACTGTAACGTATAGTTCTACAGTATTAATTGAACATGGACTTGAATTACTGGACAGGTAATACTTTAGATACTAAAGCTATGTTCATTTCACGTATGTGTTTATTCTTCCATGTTCCTCTGCAGGTAAATATTTACTAACACAGCCTGATTACAAGTAGTGCTATTTAAATAGTTTGAATCCTGAACTGAAGCATTTCACTGTTTAAATACTGACTGTATGTTTTTTTTTTTTTAATAGGCCAACAGTTTCATTGGTATGGGGAAGGATATTCAGACATTTATGCTCGATCTACAGGTTCTTAAAGAAGAAAATTTAAAGCTGAGAAAAGAAAGGGTATGTAGGTTAGGTTTTTTTTGGGCTGTATTTATATATTTCTTACAGTATAGAAAAAGCATTAAAATATTCTGAAACCTATACTAAAAATAATACTTTGTCTTATTTTTATTCTGAGCGTAATTGATATTAACTGATTATTGCAGTTGAGTGAACACATCAGTCAAGTATAACGTCTCAGCATAAGACTGTTTTAAGGTCCTTATGACTTTTATTATTACATGCCTTTCAGTTAAGGATTTCATTCTTATGTTTTATTTGCTTGAAAGTATATTCACTTGAGCAGCTGAAAGGGAAAGCAACGTTTTCTAATATGATGCAACACTGTGGAATATTGTTTATTTGATGAAATACTGTATTTCAGAAGCTGTGTTTTACATACGGTAAATTTCATTTACCATTTTCTAAATTGATTATTATTCTTCTAAATATTCTGAATTAGTTCATTACATTATAATCAAAGACTTCAGAACCACTAGTATTGAATGGTATTCAGTAAAACCTGTCATTATTTTTCACCTCTTCTCTCAATCTAGATAGCCATGTTTCAGTGTAGACACTGTCATCACTTCTGCAATTTTTTTTCTTTCTTTCAATGCTGTAATAATATTACATTCCATCTTGCTGATTAAATTAAGCAATGGAACATACAGTCTGTGTGGAACATAGGCTTAGTTTTTGGCAGGGTTGCCTCAGTCCCTTAAATCTGTCAACCCAGAGTTTATGACTTAGTTTATTTTGTGTCCAGGAATATTTTTGAACTGAGGTCTTTTGTGGTTTGCATGAATTCAAGTATTCCCATGGCATTTTTCATAAGAATGTTCTTCAGTTGTTCTTGGTTAAAACTTCCCCTCCCACCATGCAGCATAGTGTGTGTTTAGGGTATCCCTAAGAGATGTGACAGTTTATCCCAGCTGGGGATCTGCACCTGAGAGGTGGATGTAACTTCACTCATCAGGCCATGGCTTTCTTTGTGCAGAGGCTTGTAGATTGCACTGCTAGCCTTCGTGATGAGAAAATTATTGTGTACGTATAGAATGTTAGAGGCAAATACTTCACAATGAAGAATGTGTAAGTGGGATGATATTCATGTAGGCTTAAGGGTTCTGATATGAAAAATGACCGCTTTGCGTTTATTGCTTAGGAAGAAATAAGCCATCTGAAGTCCAAACATTTTAGAAATTTGAGCAAGCCAAAGTCTAATATTTAGAATTTTCTGTTTAACTTAAGGAGGAACTTCAGAAGGAACTGACAAATGCACAACATAAAAATGAGAGTGTTCTTTCTATATATACCGAGGATCAGAATTCAGAATTAAGTCAATTAAAGCAAGATTTGGAAAGAAAAGAGCATGAATTAAATGAAAGTATTGCTGAAAGAGAAACCTTAATAGCAGAGTTGGAAGAGCTGGACAAGCAGAATCAAGAAGCTACTCAGGTAATGAACATTGCCATTAATTATTGAATTGGTAAAATAGATGTTTAGGGTTTTTGGGCGTCTTTTCAGTTAAGCTTTGCATGTATGTATCAGTGATATATAAGTTGTCCTGAGCGGCAGTAAAATAATCATAGGGCCAGTGGTTCACTTTACTCTCTGTCCTGCCAAAAGAGGGTCTGATGCAAAATTTTGAAGTGCAACAAAACCATTTGTTATGACAAATAAATAATATATCAGATGCCCATAATGGGTGTTACTTTCCTGTGTCCTGTCAAATAGAAATTACTTTTTTTTTGCAAGACTTCTAGCTGTTTTTATCTTGCTAACATTGTGACTTCTGTCTTGTGACAGTATGCATGACACATCCTCTTCACCTTTTGTCAAGTTTAGTTTTGTTGAGTAGTTTAGCTACTTTATTACAAGTTCTTCATACTGTCAACATTTGTGGAGCAGAGAGGTCACCAATTACATGTAATCAAAATGGAATGTTGTTCATTTGTCACTGCCCTAGTACAATTGGTCGTTAAATATATAATTGCAAGCCATGTTTTTCCAACATTGCTTACTTTGTGGAATTAAACATTTAAATACTTTCCTATCAAGTGAATCCCCGCAAGGGTATTTAAAAAAAAAAATGAACTGATGCAAGAAATTTAAAATAGAATATGCAGATAGACGTTCAGTTGAGTCACTTGTTGTTTGGATTTGGTGCCCGACTGTTTTTAAGTAATGGATATTTACTGCATAATAGCTTTAAGTGCCCTGACAAACACTGACACAACTTTTTTCTGCGTTTCTTGGTTTGGGTGGGTGTTTTTTGGGTGATGGAGGTGGTGGTGTTTTTTAAGGAAATACAGTTTATTCATGTTTGATGTTTGTTTTTAATTCATTTGGCAATGATTACTTGCCAACTTATTTTTTTAAGTAAGGAACTTCCTGTTTGAACTCAAATTTTCTGTTGTCCAAGGACAAAAATGAATGAAGTCCATTGTTTTGCTGGTTCTTCTTCTCTCCTCATGAATTCTTGTTTGTGTTCATTGCAGCATATGATTACACTGAAAGAACAGCTGTCAAAACAACATGCAGATGCTAATAGTGCCATGAAACAGCTGAAATGTGACATAGACTTTGAAAGAAAGAAGGTATCAAAACTAGAAGTTGAGAAGATGGAAACCATTAAGGAGTTAAATAGTCATAAAGAAAAACTAAGCCAATGTTCATATGCTCTTAATGATTTGCATGTAAGTAAGCAGCAGCTTCAAGATAATATTAAAGATCTGCAGGAACAATTAAGGAAAGCCCAGGACTGTAACTTGTATGATAAAAAAGAAATTACAGACTTGCAGCAGAGACTAAAAGAAAGGGAGGAGGAACTTTCTGTATCCTTGAGCAAGTTAACAGAAAAAAAGAATCAGGAATCTAACTACAGTTGTCAAGATCTGATTCTTAAAGAGAGAGAAGTAGAAATTGCAAAGCTGCAAAACAACATTTCAGAATATAAACAACTAAATGAGAACTTGGCGAAATCTATGTCTGATCTCAAAACAGAAAATGGAAAGTTGGTATTGGCTTGTGAAGACCTAAAACAGCAGCTAAGCGACGCTGTTTCTGAGAAGAAAAAAGTTTCATTAGAAAAAGACGCTATCATGGAGGCTTTGAAAATGGAAAAAAAACAACTGGAAGTGGAATTAAACCAGACTGAAAAGCAGCTGTTGGAACAAGCACACAAGTACGAGCAAACTATTGAGGAATTATCAAATGCACGTAGTATGGATACCACTGCATTGCAGCTTGAACATGAGCGCCTAGTTAAACTCAATCAAGAGAAAGACTTTAAGATTGCAGAACTCAAAAGAAACATGGAGCAGATGGACGCTGACCATCAAGAAACGAAAGAGATGTTGACTACCAGTTTAGGAGGACAGAAGCAGTTGACAGAACTTATAAAAGAAAAAGAGGTATTTATTGAAAAATTTAAAAATCGAAGCTTACAGGTGCAACAGGAACTTGAGGAATATATTAAGGATTCCAAAAAGCAAGATGTCTTAAAGCAAAGCTTAGAGGAAAAAGACAAAAGTCTTGCAGTTATGAAGGAAGAAAATAATCATTTGAAAGAAGAAATTGAACGTCTTAAGGATCAGCAAAGTAGGTCTCTACCTGTGGTCGAGCCTAAAACTCTAGATATTATTATTGAACTTGAAAGTGAGGTAACACAGTTAAAAGTGATAAAGAATAATCTTGAAGAGGAAATAGAAGTTCTCAAGAAAACAATAGAAGATCAGAATCAAAAAACAGTGCAACTTCAGCAGTCTTTGCAGGAGCAAAAAAAGGAAATCGATGAATCTAAATTTCAGCGTGAGCAAATGAATGTCACACATGAAAGACTTTCCTTGGAGAAAGATGAGGAAATAAAAAATTTACAGAAAACAATTGAACAAATTAAAACTCAGTTGCACAAAGAGAGACAGGTTATTCAGACTGATTCCTCTGATCTCTTTCAGGAAACTAAAGTTCAGACACTTAATGGAGAAAATGGAAATGAAAAACATGACTTGTCTAAAGCTGAAATTGAAAGACTAGTGAAAGGTATCAAAGAAAGGGAGATGGAGATTAAGCTTTTAAATGAAAAGAATGTTTCTCTAAGTCAACAAATTGATCAGTTGTCCAAAGATGAAGTTGGCAAACTCACTCAAATCATTCAAGAGAAAGACTTAGAAATACAAGCCCTCAATGCTAGAGTTTCATCAGCTTCCTATAGGCAGGATGTTCTTTGTCTTCAGCAGCAGCTGCAAGCTTATGTCATGGAAAGAGAGCAAGTTCTAGCAGTTCTGAGTGAAAAGACAAGAGAGAACAGTCAATTAAAAACAGAGTACCATAAGATTATGGATATGGTAGCTGCTAAAGAAGCAGCTTTGGTAAGGTTGCAAGAGGAGAATCAAAAGTTATCCACTAGATTTGAAAATAGCAGTCAAGATATGTTTAGGGAAACTATTCAGAATTTATCCCGTATTATTCGAGAAAAAGATATTGAAATAGATGCCCTAAGTCAAAAATGCCAAACCTTACTGACTGTCTTGCAGACGTCCAGTACAGGTACTGAAAGCGGGTCAGGAGGTGTTAACAGTAACCAGTTTGAGGAACTTTTACAGGAACGTGATAAACTAAAGCAACAAGTAAAAAAGATGGAAGAGTGGAAGCAACAGGTAATGACCACAGTTCAGAACATGCAGCATGAGTCAGCTCACCTCCAAGAAGAGCTACACAAGCTTCAAGCACAAATTTCAGTCGAAAGCGATAGTAATTCGAAGTTGCAGGTAGATTATAATGGCTTGATTCAGAGTTATGAACAGAATGAGAAAAAGCTGAGAAGTTTTAGTCAGGAGTTGGCGCAAGTTCAACACAGCATAGGACAGCTACATAACACCAAGGATCTCCTCCTGGGAAAACTTGATTTGGTAACACCCTCTGTCGCAACAGTTTCTGTTGTTTCACAGCCTTCAGGCATTCAGCATGGTGTTCCTGAAGTACTCAGTGATGAATCCAAACTTCTTCAGAAAGAACTGGAACAACTGAAAAAAAAGTTGCAAGAAAAAGATGCAACTATTAGGACTCTTCAGGAAAACAATCAACGATTATGTGATTCTGTGGCTACAGCATCAGAGTTTGAAAGAAAGGGTCAAGAAGAGACTGATTCAGAGAGGAGACAGATCAAAGAAAAACACGATATCTTACAGAAGTCACTTAGGGAAAAAGACATATTGATTAAATCTAAAAGTGATCAGTTACTTTCTGTGAGTGAAAATCTTAGTAACAAGGAGAATGAAAATGAGCTTTTAAAACAAGCTGTGACCAATCTTAAAGAAAGAAATCTAATTTTAGAAATGGACATTCGAAAACTGAAAGAAGAAAATGAAAAAGTAGTTGCAAGGTGTAGG